TTGGCCTTCATTGATCCATTTCTATGTAGTTAAAAAAAATACAGTATCAAAGCTTTCTTCTTTCCCCCAAAAAACTAGGGGAAATATTTTAAATTGTGAGTGTGAATGTAGCTATGCAATCCTTAAGTGTACAAAACACACAAACATCACTATACTTGGAAAATTATTTTCATCATACTGTAAACATCTCTTCTTCTATATCTGGACATTTGAAAATAGTCTTTGGTATTACTAGTTATTGTGCTTTGAAACAGAAACTTACAAGATTTCTGAAGCAGTACTACATAGACATTTTAAGACATAAATATGAAAAATGCACTTGGAATAAGTTATAATTAGCTGCTTTTGCATAATTTTCAAAAACTACAGTGTATGCCTAGTCACAGTTTTATGAGAAAGAATATCTCCTTTTCAACTCCTTAATTTTAAGGAACACTTAATCATTTTGGCTAAATATCCATTTTTGGAGTGGATCTGATGGATTGCATGACACTAAGTTCGGATGCTCTCCATTTGCTGAAAGGCACATTTTAAAGAATGGATTATATAGAAGTTGATCCTAGAATAAAAGGAAATACAACAGACATTAAGTTTCAAGACTCATAATTAACTGATAAATATTTAAACAACTTTACGGTCTCATTGAAGCTAAAGGGAGACTTACAAACTAAATGTATACCATTCTTAACTTTAAATCTTTCTAAGGTCAACTATGCCTGATAAAATCACGTTGGCTTCTGCTGTAAACGTCACCATTGATGCCACTACTGTTCAGTTAACAAGGTATTACATAAACGAAGAGAGGTATACAGAGCAAGGTCTGAATCAAGTTTTCAAACAAGAAGCATCCCATTGATATTTCCACAGGTGGCAAACTCTTTAAAGACCATAAATCCTAAAAGCCATGTTATGGTTTTCACAAAAACCATTATTGCACAAAACAATTTTCAGGTAAGAACTGTTATGATCCAGCTAAACCTAAAACGTGTTTAAAAACAGAAGAGACTCGCCATGTATTTTCTCAATTCTAGATTCATGAAAAAGTATTAAACCAGGGTAGGAAAAAATTAATCCCTTTAAAGGAGAAAAAAATAATATTTTTCCTCTCCGTCAGGAAAAAGAAAATGTGACTGTCCATGAAGCGTTATAAGAAACCTTAAAAAGTCAAAAATGAGCAACTATTATTAATAATTCACAGAAGTGTTGATCTACATAAACTACGCTTCAATCAAGCAACTTTATGATTTTTTTCCTAAATGTACTTAATTCATAGATATACTCGCTTATCACACGGGTAGAAACACATAATAACAAAGTTAATAAAGACAGAGAAATTCTGATGGATAATATTAATGTACCATGTTCCACTCATTTTCCCAGATAAGCAAGACGAGCTAAACACAATACTGACATAAGGAGGTGAATTACACGGAAGTACCTTCTTGATCTCCCATATCTGTTCTATAGTGACAACTGTCCTGTGACCTTTGTAGGAACAGGCCTTCAGCTGAACGGGACCTTCAGCTGCGTGAAGACATAATTCTTTCTGGATGTTGTGCCGAATTTCATGATGAGCAGAATATTCAAAGTACTATGAGAGGAAGAGTGCGTTATTGAAAAAATAACCCTATATCCTCAGTTGTAAAATAAAATACATTTAAAAATCAGCAACTCACTGAATAATGAAGTCATTTCTACTTCAAGAAAATGATACAATAAAAAGTATTGGAAACAATAAACTGAGTTTTTATGACAGAAGATACCCTTCTTCAGCCTATCATCAACAGGTAGTTACTTAATTAGGAAGGTATTGTCTTCCTCCCTATATCAGAAATTGAGGGATACCAAAGAGGATGGAGGCTAGCATAGGCACTCCACAGAAAGGGTCTGAAAAGTTCGAGAAAGCTCATTAACTTCCTCTCTCCCACAAGTGCTCCTTCTCTCATCTTCATTTTAGTTAAAGCCATTTTTATTAAACTAGGAACTTCAGGGTGCTCTCCATGCCTCAGTTTCCTCACCTGTAAAATGGGTAATTTAATAGTTCCTATCCCACGGAGTTATAAAGATGAATGGGTTAACATTCCTAAAACACTCAGAACAATGACTGGCAGGTGGTAAGCATTTGATACATATAAGCTATTATTACTATTATTGATCCTGTTCTCTCCCCACATAGCAATTAATTAGTCCCTTATTTGTACTGCATTTTCCTCTCAGATGTTACCATCCCACTCATTCTTACTTCCTTAGCATCACTTCTCTTACTCAGACCCTCAGAATTCCTGCTGTGAAACCTCCAGCTACCTCCAATTTCTGTTGCTTTAATCTAGCAATTCGATCTGCTGCCAGTTAGTCTTTCATAGTCTTTGGTCCTCTACTGCCCTTGCTTAAGTGAATCAGGACTGTTGCTAAGAAAAAGTCCACACTCCTTAACTGGTACATGAAATCGTCTATTTTCAATCTTCCATCAACCACTGTCCCAGTTACATATTACCGTTATTTCACACAATTCTACCAATGCAGAACATGTGTATCCATAACTCTGAGGCTTTGTTTTAATGTCTGTGCTCTGCCTGGAATACCCGTTTTAACCTTTTCTGCCTTGCTAACTCCTTTCCATCTTTCAAGAGCCAACTCAAATATTACCTTCCTTCTTTGGCTTTCCCTGAATTTGTCCTACTGCACAAAATTACACCCTTTTCAAGGTCCCAGCAATGCATCGGAGATAACTTTTATAGTACTCTATTAGAATTGTGTGTGTAGCTAGCTGGCTTCCCCATAGACCAAAGTCAGGCAGTGTATCTAGTAATAATATCCATTGCAAATCAAATATTTCATAATGTTGACTTTTTAAGGATAAAATAAGTTAACATAATTGATTTTCAATAATGAAATAATTAGTAGTAATACTAATATTTATTAAGTTTTTATTATGTGCTAGGCAAGTACTGTGTTAAACCCTTTATATATATTAGAGTAGGCGCTCCACAAATATTAGCTGAATTAACAGAGCCACATATCCGGAGTTCCTCCAGTCTTAGTCTCATGCTTAATTTATTTCCTCCCACAAATAAAACATCAGTCGTTTTTACAACTGGTAGTTCTTTACATGGAAACACTTGGGGAAAATGGATTTAGATGATGAAAACAGCATTCTAGCTCTACTTATCTAAGAAAAACAAACCTTAAGATCTCAAAGATGATAACAAACGTCTAGTATTTTAAGTTACTATCATTAAAAAGCCATTAAAATTAAAATCATAAAAACGGAAAATACTTTGGTAGCCAAAAATTTCATTTTTTTTATTTCAAAATATTATGGGGGTATAAAGATTTTGGTTATATCTAATGCCTTTGCCTCATCCAAGCCAGGGTGACAAGCATGCCCTTCCCCCATACAGTGTACTCCACATCCATTAGTTGTGAGTTTATCCACCCCCACCACCCCCCTCCCACCTGACCAGCACCCAGTGAATATTACTACTGTGTGAGCACCATAGTGTTGATCAGTTAGTACCAATCTGATGGTGAGTACATGTGGTGCTTGTTTTTCCATTCTTGTGATACCTCACTTCAAAGGATGGGCTCAAGCTCCATCTAGGATCATGGAAGAGGTGTTAGTACACCACTGTTTTTTGTAATTGATATACATATACCACATTTTATTAATCCACTCATGTATTGATGGGCACTTGGGTTGTTTCCACATTTTTGCAATTGTGAATTGTGCTGTTACAAAGATTCAAGTGCATATGTCATTATTATAGAATGTCTTTTTTGCCTTTGGGTAGATGCCTAGTAGTGGGATTGCTGGATCAAATGATATTTCTATTTTTAGCTCTTTGAGGTATCTCCAAATTACTTTCCACAGGGGTTGTACTAATTTGCAGTTGCACCGGCAGTGTAAGAGTGTTCCAATCTCTCGGCATCCACGTGAGCATTTGTTGTTTTGGGACTTTTTGATAAAGGCCATTCTCACTAGAGTTGGGTGATATCTCATTGTGGTTTTGATTTGCATTTCCCTAATGACTAGAGATGTTGAGCACTTTTTTATATGTTTGCTGGCTATTATTCTGTCTTTTTTTGAAAAGTTTCTGTTCATGTCCTTTGCCCATTTATTGATGGGGTTGTTTGATTTTTTTCTTGTTAATTTTCTTAAGTTCTATATAGATTCCTGTTATCAGCCCTTTATCAGATGTGTAGAATGCAAATATTTTCTCCCATTCTGTAGGTTGTCTATTCACTCTAATGATAGTTTCCTTGGCCGTGCAGAAGCTTTTTAATTTGATCAGGTCCCATGTATTTATTTTTGTTGTTGCTGTGACTGCTTTGGGGGTCTTCTTCATAAATTCTTTGCTTAGGCCAATGTCTATAAGCGTTTTCCCAACATTTTTTCCTAGAATTCTTAAGGTTTCATGCCTTAGGTTTAAGTCTGTTATCCATCATGAGTTGATTTTTGTGAGAGGTGAGCAGTGGGGATCCAGTTTCAATCTTCTGCATGTGTTTATCCAGTTTTCCCAGTACCGTTTATAGACTAGAGAGTCTTTTCTCCAATGTATATTTTTGTCGGTAGCAAAAAATTTTTAAAAGTGTGTAATTAGATAGCTGATAATATTGGCAAGACTTAGAACTGGGACAAACACCATGGACAGAAAGTGGATGAAGCAAAGCATTAAGTGTCAGAAAGTCATAATGGCTTAAACTGCATTGTACCAGTATACTGGCCCATTTAGTCACATAACCAAAATATTTATTTTAACTTTGTATACACAAATACTGTACAATGGAGTAAAACACTATCAAAATACTATCTGATCAAAACAGTAGCGGGAACAGGAAAAAATGATCAAGTTATATGCTATCTCAAAATTTTCACACTCAAGGAATTAAAATTTGCAAAGTAGTTTAAATGCAATGCTTGAGTGAAAATAAAATGTAAAGGAAATAAGCCAAAATAAAATCAATAGCTGTGTTAAGGTAACAGAAGCCAGAATCATCATCTTAAAATATAAACCAGGCAATATTATTCTCCTGTTCAAAATGCTCCAATGGCTCTGTCAGACTCAGAATTAATGGGGCTTGCAAAGCCCTGCATGATTAGGTCCCTATCGATGTCTCTGACCTCATTTCCCACCCCTCTTTGCTGGATGGCTCTGCTCTAGCCTCACTGCCTTTCTGCTTTCTCCACGTACCTGCCACTGGGCCTCCAACCTGCCAATCCCTCCTCCAAGATACTCATCTTCTCCTGGAATGCGGTGTCTCTCCCAACTCACTCAGGCTTCCACTCTAAGGTCACTTTCCCAGAAAGTTCTTCCCTAACCTCTGAAAATAACCACCCCACCCTGAACACATTATGCCCCTACCTGCTTTGTTTTTCCTCATCATATATTTATTTTTTCTTTTCCTGTGGAAAAAAAAATGTTCCTGTGGAATATAACCCTCATCTTTTTCACTACTGTAACAGTACGAGCTACATTATAGGTTCTTAAGCAAATATTTGTTGAAAGAATATGTGAATTTTTCTCCATCCCAAAATTTCTAAAAGACATATTCTATTATTCTATTTAGAATTTAAAGATATTTTTTGATAAAGTACTGTAAAAACATCTTTATGGCAATGGTAACAGATAAATAGAAAAAAACAATGTATATAACATACCTTTAACTTTTAAAATAAAATAAATGTAACACCAGAGGAAGCCTGAGAGAAATTTATAAGTATTTATATTTAGTAATAAGAGTTTTACAAATAAAGTATTTCCCTTTGCTCAAAAGCCTTAATTTTTATTAGTATAGTTCAGTGTTATTTCGAAAAGAATGAAATTATTTATATAACTATTTTTCTTCTATATGTGGAAGGAAATTTTTAAAAAGACATATATATGCACATACACATATATACACACACCGATATATATATATAGGTATAAGTATACATGCAGGAGTGTCTATATGTGTCCATATATATCTATATAGCTCCATCCCATATCAGAAATACATTTTATCATCCCACAGATCGAGTTCACCAGCTCTGGCTTCCAGGCATCCTCATCACCTACCCTCAGTAGGTTGACTGGTTTAGGTGAATGAGGATTAGAACTAGATTGAACTGAGCCTAATGAGTAAGAAATGTAGAACAAGATGGACCAGGAGATAAACTGACTCTTTCTTCTGAAAACTGATACCATCAAAGTCCCATCCTTTTAAAACAGGATATCATGAGTATTTAGTATCGTGGACTCTTAACTACACCAAAATACTTGCAGTTAGTTCCCAGAAAAGACTCCTACCAGGCTCCCCTGATCAGTACACCTTTCTTCGCACTCTTCTCATTATGTTCTCATTCCCATCAGCCACCTCACTAGCTTCTGCTTACCTTTTTAAAAAAATATTCTTCAAATGTCATCTTTCCCAGGAAAACGTATGGGCATTCAGTCTAATTCACATGCCCTTCCCATACCCCCAGAGCATTCTGAATGCTTTATCCCGGGCCTTATCATACTGGCTGTAACTCGTTTTGAAACGTAAATTTCTTAAAGGAGTTAGAATCTAAATTGCTTGAACCATCAGAGTACCGGCCGTGCAGGGGGGTCACTCAGTGGCTTTATGAATGAACAAATGAGAGAAATAGAGTCTAATCCTTCCAAGAGTTAATTTATAAAAGATAAAGAAAGGAGACTAAAACCCATAAAGCTAATATTTAATATGTTCCCTACCCACAGTAGGCTACATAGTACCATTTCACATTTGAGCCTTAATCGGTAAAATAGTCTAAAAGTGGTAATAAACAGGGATGTCATCAATCAAGGAGAACCAAGAAGATGGTTTCTCCTGGGGAGGATGTATAGAAATCATGTTGTGGCCCACAAAATAGTGCTGTTATTAACACTTGATGTCATTTGCCATCAAATCTAGTTAAATATGGCTTTTATATATAATCTTGCAAAAATCACCTTGCCAACAGTCACACAAATATCAACACATCAAAGACCTGCATAGAAGATCCTATTGTTAAAAATTTCAAATGGCATTATTCTATTATTTTCTTGTTTTCCTTTCTATTGTATAGCTAGGCAACTTCAAATTGTTTTCAGAGCCAGAGTGAAAACCAAAATAAAGTACGCTACAACTATGGTCCCCAAGGTGTCCTCCACCACTCCTCCCTCAACCCCTGGAAAAATTGTCTTTCATGAAACTTAGGAACCTAAGGAGGGGGCGCGCACAGCAAGAGGCGAGCGTGAGCAGTGGGCGAGTGAAGCTTCATTTGTATCCGTTGTATTTACAGCTGCTCCCATTGCTGGCATCACCGCCTGAGCTCTGCCTCCGCCATACCTCCCCCCCCCACTCCCTTATCCGTGGAAAAAGTGTCTTCCATCGGACCGATCCCTGGGGCCAAACAGGTTGGGGACTGCTGCTCTACAACATCACTATTAATTGCCAAACTTAGTCTGAAACCATTTCTCACACTGGTTTACCTAAGTATAAAGCTGATTTAGGACTTCTGAAAAATATGCAACATATTATTTGTGTTTGTAAGTGCTTTATAAGGGAAGGATTTCTAATGTAGCGCTCACCTGGTTTCCCCCAAGTCCATGACACGTATACAAAATTAATGGTTTGTCTCCTTGATTATTTTCTCCAACATCCAGACATAAAGGCTGACCAACACTTTTAATCTGAAGAAAAATTTTCAAGTTATAAAATTTTTGAAAATTCTATGTAGTTTACATATTTTTTCAAATAATTTCAGGAGGTAATGCTAATAATAACAACATAGTATCTCAAAAGCAATAAACCAGAAAGTATTTCAGCAATTTTCCTCAAACCACATAAATGTTGGTGGCAAGGAATACATCGAGTAAAAAAAGAACAGGAAAATACTCACATATCCAGATATAACAGGATTAAGGTCTGGCACATATACTTCTGGATAAATATTGTTCAGATACCATGTAAAATTTTTACACTGAAGGCGCTGTTTTATTTCAAATCTTTTTGAAAGATCTCCAAATGATTTCTGGAGAAGGATGAAAAATGAATAAAATGCTTAAAATAGCACTGATAAAATACTTCAAATGCTACTATTTGTATTTACATTCAGGCATCAAAGTCTCTGGGTCAGAATTCAAGATGCAATTTAACAGCATTCACCATTCATTCAGGTAACAAGTATGCCTGCCTGTTCATTTCTGGCCTTAAAGAGAATCCAGTCATTACTACAGTGATGATTAAATGAATAAAATGGTACTATTTTATTTTTCATTTGTGCCACAAACTTCCCCTACAGGACAAAGATCTCTAGAGGAACGCTGTGGGCAAAGGAACAGCAGTGGAACATCCATAATTGGTCCCAACTTTAAGCCTAAAAGTGATCTGCAAAGTGAGGTGTGAGAAGCACGTCCAAGTCAACAGTGCCAATATGTAATGGAATTTGTAGCTCTTCAAGACCACAAAAAAAACATCACCAAAAAACAATACAGTTGGGAATAATATTTTTCTAGTTCAAGAGTGTTGCTTATTCTTAACAATATCTCCAACTGGACCTTCATGGTAGAAAAAGATAATATTTGAGTTAACTGCATTTTATTTTTCCTTTATTTTAGGAGACTAAGAAAATAATTTTTTTAAAAAGCTCTATTAAACTTAAAATATATTTGATCTACAGGCAAAATTTTAGAGAAAAATTATATTTGATACCTACATGTATGAAAAAGTAAATACTAAGGCTTATCAGTTCAACTAAGGAAAATATTTCCTTATGCAAGCTTCAATGCCTTGAACCTAGGTGATTTCGCAAAAAAAAAAAAAATTTGACTCTTAAGGACTTCTGACTAAGCTTATACATATGAGCAGGTAGAACTATGTACCCTGTGGTAAAAAGAGATATCTGCTGGCTCACTTGCCTCTTTGTGGGTGACAAGCAGAGCATAAACTTCATTTAGCACCCACTTGCCTGCTTTGCCAAGTACTCTTGTGCAGTACACAATCTGCCCAATTGACCTTGGGTAAAAAGATAGCAATCTAACTCAGGAGTGCTCTGAGTTTGCATCCAACAGGGAGATACCGGAGACCAAAAAAAGGTGGAAAGAGATAACTAGATCTTTCTTTATCATGACAGTCAAAATGCTGATGCCCTTAACTCCCAGTAAATACTCCCTGTGCCCCCCCCAAATTAGCACTCTTTTCAACAGAGATGGGTATCATTCACTGAAGCATATTCTTAAACTGTCCAGTTAATTTACCTCATCCAACATAAAGACTGTTGGAATTCAGTTCTAATGTATTAGGTGTCATGATTCCACAGAACAGAACCTATTTGTAACAGGTTAATAAAAAAAGTGGCATTCATTTGTTAGCACTTATCACTTCCTTATTTTACAGCTACTCTGGGAGAGAGGCAGGACGTACTTCATCTCTCAAGACAAGGAAGGAGAGAGAAGAAACATGTTGCAACCACCCTGTGAAATGCCATCCCCATTTTGTTTTTAATGGACCTTTGCCAAGGTAGCACCTCTAATGAGTAGTGGATCTAGATCTTGAAAAACAAAAGCCTTGACACTCCTGGTTCCTTCGCAAGACATTGTCTCTATCTCCAGTTCGAAAGGCCATTTAGAACCTTTATTTAGGTGTTAATCACATATCCTGAAACCAGTAAAAAGCAGTTCTACTTAATTTTATTTTGAGTAAAATATTGAACATAGGCAGTTACAAAATATCTTTCATATTAAAAAGGATAACATCAAGTAGAATGTCCAAATTTTTAAAAAGCAGTTTACTTAATTTTTCCTTAAGAGAAAACTGGCATTCATAAGTCATATATTTTAAGAGTTAAAGAAAAACCTAGTTTCAAAAATAATTTTTTTAATGTTTTATATTTGAGTTGACTCAAATAAGCAAAAGGACATGTGAATTTGGTATAGATTTTTACTGTAATTTAATTATTTAGCTCTAACTTACTTGTTTAACGATTTTTGCTGCATCTGTGTTTCTCCTGTAAAATATTTCCTTATATTCATCCATCCAGACTTCCGCAAGGCGAACTTGGTTGCGAGCAATCACCTGAGTGCCTTTTGGAAAGGAATGAGGGCTTTTGCTGCGAAAAACATGTCCAACAACAGAGCAAGGCATAATCTCCAACTGCCCACCACATTGCCATACCTGATAATTAATGATATTTGTTTAAATTTACAATATTTTAGGAAAATCAAAGTGTTGTTTTTAAGTTCACCTTTAAGATATTAATAAAAGCAAAATATAGAGAAGAGATTCATTATAATTTCCCAAATAGTCTTTGTCTCCTGATGATTTTGTTAAATGGTATAAACACTAAAGATTACAAAGGCACATTTTCAGAAAGTTAACAAACAGTGATTCTAGATCTTTCATAAAAATGAATTCCAAGCTATTTTTTTTTTTACAATCAAGTTCCCTAATATGCACAGAAAACCAAAGGCTCTTATGCTGACATACATCTCATACAATTTATATGGTCCTTTTCCTAAACCACAGATTTCTCTGCTAAGCCATGAACTGGCAGCCTGGGTGTAAGTGGACCCAGACCCTATTTATCCTTTGCATATTTAATTTTGCAATTAAGAAAACAATTCCAGAAAGCCATTTTTACCAAAGTACGATCTATTACATTTGTGAAGCAGGTGATTATTATAAAAAATTCATGCCTATTTAGAAAGTGTCAAGAAAATTTATTTGCATTAATTCTAAATAAGATGGAAAATCATGAAATCAATACCTTTTCATTTAAATATCTTATGATAATCATCAAGCAAAAAAACTGAAAAAAAGTCATGTTTAATAGTATGTGCTAGTATTAGGACAAATGGTCATTTCCTCTTTTTCTCCTTTACTTTTCTAAACAAACGAGAAAACTCAGTTCAGTTCAACAAACTGCATTTGAGATCCAACATATGCTAAGGGTTGGAAATTCTGAAATGAATAAAATAAGACCCCTGCCCATAAGTAATACAAACTTGGCTAAGATCATCACTGTATGTGATGGAGCCACAGCCAAAACTTAAATCTTCTAACTCCTAGTTCAGTTCTTTTTCCACTACATTTCAGCCTAAGAGATGAAAAATGAATGAAACTCATAAAATCAAATAAATAAGGTACATGTGAAGACTATCCAAAGTCTTCGTTTTGTTTTTCATATTAACTTTTAGTATGTATAGGGGAAAAAAACAGCTCATTTAATCCAAACGGTTAAGTCCAATGTCCTTTAAAATCATGCATAAATGTTTTTCCATTCTGTCTCCCTTGATAATCAACTCATTTCCTGAAGCACTAGATTTAATTATATTTATCTTGGATGGAATTCAGTAGCTACTAGTGCATTAATTGGTGTTATTGCCTGGACACTGATTCCTCTTGTAACATTGGCAACAATGAATAAATATATTAAATTACATTTTAAAAGGAAATATTCTTATTCCAAAATTTCCAGCAATTAAATTTTAGAAAGCACAAAAAGACTGCACACATCTGTAATAATCTGTACCAGCCAATTAGAACACAATATAATTCATTGTTTAACATGTGTGCTACATTTAATCTCCAAAAACTTACTCTGAAAGACATTTCTATATTTTCACCTCCCCAGATTTCCATTTCTTCATCGTAACTTCCAATATAATCAAAATATTTTTTTGATATGGAAAAAAGGCCTCCTGCAAAGGTGGGTGTTCTGAAAAATAATCCATTGTCAAACTTTATTATAAGAACTAAAGATAAAATAGCATATTTCAAAAATTGCATCAAATTCACATATTAAAGACATCACAATTTCAAAACTTTTGTATAGATTAATAGAAACTAAAAATGCTATCTTCAAAGCCCAGTTGTTTTTTTGGGGGTGGGGAGTACTTTGTGTCCTCTGCCAGCAGAGCAAAATTAAATGTCTTCTCCTAGCCCTGCTTTAAGACTCTTAAGTACTGATTTATGAGAAAGACATAAGAGCTCACTTAATTCTGCTTCTTACTCAGCAACATCTTGTGCAAGTAAGTGCACAAATAAATGACTGTTCTATTCTATGTAGAACATGTGTGCTCTTCATTTTGTTAATATGAATTACCTCACAGGCAACTGCTGAAAAAGCAAAAAGTGCATACATATTTAGTGTATGGTATATTGTATAAACATAAGACTTTGAGAGAAATCATCTTACTTAATTGGGTACGTTTCATCCTTCCTTCTGCGCTTCTCATAATCAGGGAGTGATTCCCAGCCGAATGAAAGACTCCAGTCAAAATTTCCACGATTATGGTTAAATCCATAGGGAGAAGGTTTATTGAATTCAAACGTGTTCATATCTATGGATGCAATATCTGGACTCACGACAGCAGTGTAGTTCTCAGCTATTCTGGCCAGCAAAGGTTCTAACCAACCATAGAAACACTCACCTAGAGAAACGATAACATTAATTCAATAAAAACACTGAAAACTTTTTCCTTTCGTTGTTTGGGCGAAGGCTTACAAAGAAATCAGAATAACAAAATCATTTATGTTTTGAACATTTATATAGGGGGATTCTTTTTTCCAGCTTTATTGAGGTATGATAGACAAAAATTCTATATATTTATGGTATACAGCATAGTTTTATGTATACATTGTGAAATGATTATGACAGCTAATTAACATATCCGTCATCTCATATGTTTATCTTTGTGTGTGCGTGCATGTGTGTGTGTGTGTGTGTGTGTGTGTGTGTGTGTGTGTGTGTGGTGGGGGGGTGAGAACATCTGAGATCTACTCTTAGCAATTTTCAAGTAGACATATCATTATTAACTATAGTCACCATGCTATACAACAGATCTCCAGAGGGGAGATTTCTTAAATGTTTCTTGTGATGAGATAAGGGTGGGATGAAAAAGGTAAAACAAAATTTCAGCATAGTTAGGAAAATTTCCCTAGAGATGATGATTTTTTTTCTCCTAGAAAAGCTGTAAAATAATGCTGGTGTATTTACGGCTTAGATGACGCATTTCCCTTTAAAATGAGCTATGAATCAAAGATAACTTTTTACTGGTCCACATCACTTAGCCCTAAAAATGGTCATTTAAACTTGTGTCCCCCTGAGTAAGGTACAGTAATTGAAATCTTCATTTCTCTGACTGGGTCTTGGGGAGAAAAGTCAAGGAGTCAGAACATTCTGATTTTAGCAGTTGGCTAAGAAGGACCATTCAAGGCTGCTCCAGACCTAATGGAAAGCGAGGGCCAAGGAGTCCCATGACAGGTCTGGGCCCTGGCCACAGGCCAGGCTGTCTCACCTAACACACGGTGGGTTCAGACGATGCATGTGCAGACCTATTCTGGGCTCCCCACTAAGTGGAATTTGGCAGTCACCGTCCTGGAGGACCATCAGACACATTCAGCTGGAGGGGAAGAATGCTCAGTCTGATCTTATTGTAATTTTGGACAAGGAGAGGGAATACTAGAGAATGGTATTTTCCTTTGTAAAACACCTCTCTTGGATTACCTTTAAACCTCTCTTCATTTTTTAAACGCCTGGCATTAAGAGAGAACTAGATGTTAACAACTCAAGCAAATCCAAAAGCCCTTCTATGACAATTAGCATATGCTCAAAACCAGTTGTTGTGTCAAATATAACCTAAAGGCTGGCCAATTCAAAACTAGACACTCATATAAAGAATAAAACCCTCCAAACTTACAGCTCAAGTGACATTTTAGTAATACCTAGCATGTACATTACACACTAACTCTAAAAGTACTTTTTAAATACTTTAAAAACATTGATACTGAAAAAATTAAAATACCAAGAAAAAACCCCCCAGAAACGAAAAAAGAAAAATTGACAATGCTCATGGAAGAGATATCAGAAGTTGGGGGGAGACACCCCTAACTTGGCATAAAAAGGAGTCTGCAAATTTGGGAGAATAAAAATTAAAAGTTTCAGTACTAGGACAAACTTTAATGACAAGGTTGACTATATCTAAACAAATAAACTTTCACTCACTTTTAAAGTGTAGAAATCAAGAATAACGAGGAAATGTTTTTTTTTTTTTGTTACAGGATGAATATCTGGGGGAGAAAAAAATCCCAGGCAAGGATAACCCTATGGGGAAGCTGATCACTAGAAAACATTAAGCAGAGGCTTAAACACAAAGGAGAACTCTGTTTAAGTGAAAGGAAGTTCCTATGCAAAGCTGTTACCTGTCTGGGCTGTCATTGTTATAATCACCAGTTGAAAGTGCTGTTAAAGATAAATAAAGGGAAAACTTCCTTACCTTTTAAATTGGGGGGTGGGGGGAAGGAAAATGATACAACTATGTCTATACAGATATACTTACAGTGAGCATCTAAAAATGTGAGCGTTTCAGCTGTTGCTACTGTTGCTCCTAGCAACCGAGCAGTGATCAGACCTTTTCTTTCCCTTTGTCTGACTATTTTGACTATAGAAAATTGTTTTATATATTCCTCTAGTTTATCATGTAAGTACTCTGCAAGGAAAAAAAAAATCAGGATTAACTCTTTCTAAATGTATTTTCACATACAATATATGAACGCTAATGAAACCATAAAGCAATGATCCTTCCAAATTCATAATCTTAACAGTTAGTTGTACATGTTCTTCCAGTTAGATGAAAATTTTTATTTTTATTTTCAGTCTTTTACTCTTTACTGGGATACAAAGGCTAAATATGCAAGTTATAACTACTGTAACACATTACATTATAACACATACTTATCCTGTACACTTCATATCAATAAATATAACATACCTGGGGGAAAGTGAGAGATTTCAAATGGAGTGGACCCCAGTAGTTAAGGAGACTTATTTAGAGGTCTGAGAAGATTGATTGTGGGACTGAAAGAAATGGAATTTGGCCAAAAATATATTCAACTTTTAAAAATTGGTATTTAAATCTGGAAATCTTAAAGAAAAATGTCAAGTATCAAAAAGATTTTCTGATATTTAGGCAGTGATCAAAATAATTTAAGACAAATATGTTAAGAAAAAAGTTGTAGGAAAGTCCTGAGCTACACCAGTTTGGTAATATTTCTACAAAGAGTCAGCAGAAAATTTTTTAAAGCTTTGGAGTCTCCTGACCGAATTTTTTCCAGTAAAAATATGAAAGTAAAAAGGAGCCAGTAAATCAAGAATGAGATTAAAAACAGGCATATTTTAGTAATGGGTGTGTAATTTAAGATATTCAATATCCAATGTGGATGACACACACAATAAGCAAAAGTTCAGATAGTAGTTGGAAAAAGTTTATTAATCAAATCAGTAAAGTGTTGTTCATATTGTCAAACAACTTCTTAAGCCTGCCTTTTCACTATTAAATTCTTGATTCCTTGTTAAGTATATAATGCAGTTCTGCAAGTGGCCTTCTTGGGCCCATAGCACAGCACCAAAAAGATTTGGGAATATTGAAAAAGTCAGTAAATGTCCTAGGGTAAATGTTTGCTTCTGCCAGAACTTAGAAGCAAATGCAGATGACTTTATCTATGATGATATATATTTTTTTAATTCCTCAGTGGTACAGATAAGAGAGTTGCTTATTTAGAGCTTAAACATGCATAAGGGAGGTGAGAGTCCAGGAACAACCTTTGTGGGAAAATAAATATCTAAACATTGTTGCCTCAGAGTAACAGATTAACTTTTTTAACACTTTCTAAGTACCTCAGAAATAATTCTCTGAAAGACAAGCAGGATTGTAATTTGTCTTAAAAATACAATCATTAACATTTTCTGCTTTAAGAGTCTTGTAAAATTTCAAAGTTCTTGATGGGGATTGATTTTTTTAAATGGAGTTACTACAGATTCCTTCAACAAACGCTCTCACTGTTTGAATTCGTTAAGAAATTTTTGATGTACCCCCAACTTCTGAACTTCTGTAAATTTTTATCTGTCCCCTAAATTTAGCTTCCATCCCTCTTTTGGGAGGTTAAGAACACAAAGCCATGCGAAATCAGGTATCCTGGGTTCAATGTATGTCACCATCACTTTTAGCCGTGTGACCTTGGACAAACTATTTCACCTTTTCTGTACATCAGTTTCTTTGTAAGATGGGAATAATAGGATTTGCCATCACAGAAGACTATTGGGAGCATTAAATCAGAGATTACTGTACAAATAAAGCATTTAAGAGAGGGCCTATGCTCTTAAAATGTTGTCTTTTGTTGTCACTGAGATTTAACTATCTCATTGTTACCTGGTTGACCACATGCTGCCTTTCCCTAAGCAAATTGGAATCAGGGACTAGTCAGTTATTCCTTTACAGCAATGAGGCTCACAGTGGGTACTCACTGTAAAGCTCTTTGAGTGAATCAATAAGATAAATTACATGAGTATGCAAAGATAACTTTAGCCAAAAAAAAAAATTCCAAATCTATTGTTGATTGCTATGAAGAATTATAAAAGTATTCAAATCCTTTAACCAAGCAGTATTACTTCTCCTAACTTATCTAAAGGTGTAATTTAAAGTAGGAAAATGACATAAACACAGAGATATTCACTGCAGTATAGCGTACAGTAATACTACAGGGTGAAGAAAAGATGGATGTTTAAGTAAAATGCATCTCGTCATTGTCATTAAAATGGTTTTAAGGTCAAAGAAACAGGTTAATAACACTGTTAAGTAAAAATGTCAGATTTTAAAATGGAATTTCTGAAATGAATATAATTAGAAAACATTATGTTTATTTAGACAATGATTAGGAAAGAAATTTGAAACATTAAAATGGTTAAAACAGGGAAAATTATATAAGTGGTTATTGCTTTTCATTCTAATTTCCTTTAATTCTATAATTTTGCAGGTTTACTAAAAGTAAACTGACAATGCCCCTATTGTCTCATTACTTGGAAAATCAAACAAAATAAAAATCCTCTGAGATGATTTCAAAAGAGAAATCATAGAGAAACCAAAGAAGAGGGAAAGATTTCTAAGAGAGTTGTTGGTTTTTTGTTTTTTTTTTTTTAAGGTAAAAATATATGAAAGAGGTGTGCAGAACTTAATCAGATATAACTGAAAACTCCATGGACTGCAGTCCAACTAGACAGAAAGAATAAGAAAAAATTCAGGACAGATCAAGCAATAAATAAACCAGTTTATTACAAATGAGTTGTGAAGTAACCGGGACTGGAGATTCAAATCAGATCTGTAACGTGTTACTTGAATGCAGAGGACTTCAATTACAAAATTTCCTCATTTAGAGGATACGTTTCACATCTAGCTCAAAATCTCTGGTGACATGAAACCATATTCTACCTAGATATTAATTTGAGAGAATATAACCCTAATTCATTCAGGATATTTAATTTTAAAATATGCTGAAATAAAAATAAATATAAAAAACTTTTAAAAACCATGGAAATGTTTAGAATTATATGACTGCATTTCATCATTATGAAATAAATCAGGTTAATAATTTCATGTTTTATTCACTTATTATCATTTCTGGTATCTGGATACATTTTAAAATTGATAGAATGTCATCTAATAAGCTGTGTTTTTTTTTTCTTTTCTTAGGTAAAAAATGATGTATCTTACAATAGATGGTGTTTTGGATTTAATAAAAGAGTATTATTGCCATTTAACAGATGAGGAAACAACTGATTAGCAATAGAGATGAGATTTGACCTTCCGGAATCTGACTCCAAATCTAGATTCATTCAGGAATAAATTTTATAATCATTGAGATAATCTGTATCTATTCAGTGTTTAAAATACTTGTAAGGTTTGAAAATTTAACAAATTAAAGCATTTGTTAGATTGGCCTTGTGATTCCAATTTAAAACGTGTAATTTAGTACCTGACTTCTAATTTTAAGGAAGAAATGTAGTAAAGGATTTGGCTAACTTTGTAAATAATATTGGATATTTAAAAGAGCCAAAATAAAACAATGTGGTGACTCTTAAGTGATTTTTAACTACTCATGTATATTATTTATTGATGTGTTACTTATATTAACTCATTTAATCTTCAAAACCCTAGAGTTGTGTACTATTTCTGTATTTCATCTAAGCTACATAACTGGATACTTCTTATAATCAATGTCATGTTAAGTTTAATTGGCTGTGGTTTTCTTCCTTCTTGTGGTTTAAAAGCTAATGACATATCTTATATAAATTTGATGAAATACAATATTATTCCCATTTTACCCATAAAGAAACTGAGGCAGAGAAGTAACTTGCCCAAGTTACATAGATGGTTAGGACAAGAGCTAGGATTCAAATCAAGGCTCAAGTCTGTGCTCTTAACCACTATCCCTTACAATAAGAGTCTCACACTGAGGACTATATAATTAAAATAATAATGTTTCATACATTTCTGTACTCCAAAATATTTGAATACGTACATATTTGGATTCTAATTTAATTCATCATACGTACAAACTATTATATTCAAGCTCTGAGATGGCATACAGAGAGCAAAACATAACCAAATAGACTTTAGACACACCATACGGATTTATTTGGGAAACAATCTAATTTGTATGTGCTTTCTTACCATCTACACTAGCATCATCCACCAAAATGATTTCCTTTAGCAGTATTGCAGGTGAAGAATAAAGCACACTGTGGACAGTTCTAAGCAGCGTGGACCACGCTTCATTATGAAAAACTATTATGACACTGGTGGTAGGCAGGGGAGGGCAGCGCTTAAATTTTTGTTCAATACATCTAGAAGAAGTGAAAGAAGTAGAACAATTACAAATTATATTATGTCACAGCTATACCATGGCTAAAATTGTTATTTAATCATTATCACCAAAAAATGATAGTATATGGTTTCTTTCTATATAAGATAATTTTAATGCTACATAAATATAAATAGATTAAAAAAAATTTTTTACAAGCAGATCATTCACCAGAGATCATGTCTACTGCTAGGTATTACATGTCAAGGATTATATCTTATTGTAAGCTTTCTCAACAATATAATTTTAAATACAAATAGCATTTTTGATAATGAAAATAACCTACACATGAGACAACATGTAAAAATGACAAATCCTTGTCATTGCACAAAACCAAATTTTTCTTTTTTGTTGCAGAAATCATTCATTTCTCTTACCTGAAACTTTAAAAATTGTGCATTATTAAATGATGCTAATTTTTGTAAAGATTATCTTAAATACTTTCCTAAGTATGTAATACATGTTTCCTAACATTTTCCAAGTTTATTTAATCAATTTACTTTATCTATCTATGGAGCCAAAAGGGAAAAAATAGTTTTACCATAGAACCTACATTCGTATGATGTTCACCATTCAGCAAATACTACCATTTGCCATGAGCTGTATTAAAGATTTTCTTCCAAAAATCTGATCTACCTTTTAATAAGATCTAGCATTTAAAATTTTCCTTTGAAAAGAACATATTTAGAAATTTAAATAAATACTTAAAATCATGTTAAAAGTCCTGTGCTTCTTTCTGTTGCCATCTGAAACATTGATTGGACACTCAGAGAGAGAGACCCTAAGTATTCTTGGCTAATTAGTGGTACTATCCATACCAGCTAAAAACATTAGTTATAAATTGATCTTGAATTTTTGTTTTTTTGTTTTTTTTCTGAAATAGTTCCATTCTATAGCCCAGGCTAGAGTGCAGTGATATGACCGGAGCTTACTGCAACCTCAAACTACTGTGCTCAAGCGGTTCTCCTGCCTCTGCCTCCCAACTGAGAAGCTGGGATCACAGGAGCACATCACCATGTCCTGCTAAGTTTTCTATTTTTTTGTAGAAATGAGGTCTTGCTCTTGCTCAGGCTGGTCTCAAACTCCTGGCTCCAAGCCATCCTCCCACCTTTGCCTCCCAAAGTGCTAGAATTACAGGCATTAGCCACCATGCCTGGCTTTGAATTCATTTTTATAACAATGTCTTCCTCAATGAAAATAATCTTCATACTAAGCTGCTGGAATGTGGGTGAGTCTGTAAAATCTCCAGTTTTTGAGACTGGAAATATGGAGAAGACTATAGTTCCCAGCCTGCTGAGCTGAGGGTCAAATGAAATAACATATAATAGAGGACTTCAAATATTGTTTTTCTGGGACATAAAATAAACCACTTGTCATTTATGGAAAAGATAAATAAAGCAACTGTATCTTTTAGGTCACTTAAACATCATAAATGGCTGTCCAATTTTAGACAACAGACTACAAAATCCTCCTACCCGGTCATAAAGGCATTATAAAAACAGTGTGTGAACAATTAAACAGTGCTGCTCAAACCCAGAGATAAGGAAGTAAATCATTCACTCCTGGAGATAAGAGCCCAATACACCTTAGTTGCTCTGCCAGGGCCAATGGGGAAACTGTAGCCTCCAGTATGATACTAGAAGCCTGGGAAAGCCACCCTAAAAAAGAACCACAGATTCTCTCATTAACTGCTTTCATCACCATACTTCAACAGGAATGTCTTTGAGACACTATCTAAGAGCAAGTCTTCAGGGTGGAAAATTTGCAGTGATAAAAAAGGAATTAGATTGGGGTTAAAATATTAAGAGGAGGTGTCAACAACAGAGTAGAAAAAAGAAAGTGTTGTTCTAAGTGGAAGTGATTTTGTTCTCTAGTGCCTTCATGATTTCAAAAGTGCAATACAAATGCATGATCAGAAACAAATAATCACATGTGGATTATTCTTCCTCATTGGTAGATGAAAGAAAGTTATTTAATCTAAATTGAATTTTGAATAAACTACCAATTAAAAATAAATCTCAAACACAAACTATTCATATATACACTTTAACCGTAATTACACAGAAGTAAATACTAAATAAAAGCTTGTATTTTTTTTTTTTTTTTTTTGAGACAGAGTCTCACTCTTTTTGCCCGGGCTAGAGTGAGTGCTGTGGCATCAGCCTAGCTCACAGCAACCTCACACTCCTGGGCTCAAGCAATCCTTCTGCCTCAGCCTCCCGAGTAGCTGGGACTACAGGCATGCGCCACCATGCCCGGCTAATTTTTTCTATATATTTTTAGTTGTTCGATTAATTTCTTTCTATTTTTAGTAGAGACGGGGTCTCCCTCTTGCTCAGGCTGGTCTCGAACTCCTGAGCTCAAACAATCCGCCCGCCTTGGCCTCCCAGAGTGCTAGGATTACAGGCGTGAGCCACCACGCCCGGCCTAAAAGCTTGTATTTTTAACATATAAATGTTTATAAGCCAACATAAACTATAAGTAAAAATTATAAAAAACTCCATAATATAGTATTTATTTTTAAGAGGGAAAAAAAGGAAGAACCACTTCATGATTTGTTGTCTTCCAAGCGTTTTTAGGTGAAAGTGAAATTTGGGAATTAAAATATCTTTTTCCTACCTTTATTTGCTATGTGGTTAATTAATATAATATTAATCAAGAATTATAAAAAGGTTTTTAAGATTTAAAATATAAAACTGCACAAAAAGTCACATTAATAAAATGTTATCACTTTAGTCCTGAAAGGCTTTCCCTCAGTTTAAGCCAGGATTTATTTGCTTAACTGATAACCACTAATATCAAGTAAAAGTGCCATATTATAGTATTAATGCAAGTGATGAAACTTCACAGCATGATTTCATAAGCTTTGTTCCTTTTGATACAATTAACATGCTAAATTTATGCTTTGAAAATTGTTTCACATGTCATTTAAGATGGTGCAATTAAAATAACTTGCCAAAGTGACTATATTTCCAACCAAACCATTCGAAAAATTTGGCATATAGAAACATGCTTAAATTATCAGTAATATGACTAACTGGCTTTGAGGGAAACTAGATCTATATTTCTAATGAGCATGGAGAAGATTGGCAATTCTTCAGAAAAAGTGTTCCTTGCTGATACAGGTTACATTCAAAGTAAAAAACAATTAAATATTCACCACCTCTGCAAAATCCTACCCAAAGTAAGAAATAATTAAATCTTTGACCCTAACCAAAAAATGTTTTTAACGTGCTTAAATGTTTTTCATTTAGCAATTAACATTAATGAAAATTATTGCAGCTTCTCAATGCTATACTGGAAAAAAGGCTCTTCATCTTGAGCTGACGTTGATTGTCATGTCAAAAAAATAAAAATCATGCTTATTGATTTTTGACATCGATTGCTTTTCAGTGAAGACCTCTCCCAAAATCAGTAAAGTGCATTACTGCATTCTAACAGAATATTTCACAGAGGTTCGTTTCTTTACACATTCACTTAAAAATGATGAGCAACTTAAACTTGGATCACACATATTAAAATAGCATGACAGAAATCTAATCTACACAATTTCAACAGTAAGGAACTGGTTGGATGAGATATTCATAATCCATAAATTTAGAGAAACGTGAGTGAAACAATAGACCAGAGTCTACAAAAGTTCCTTTCTTCAGGTTCACTACCAAATATAATTCTGTAATAACCAGAAAGCAAAATACATAAACATTTTTTGCTTACAGTTTGCCTATCTTACCTCTCAAAAACCTACTGATGTCTTGAAGATGCCGAAATTCATTTTAGCCATATCAGTTCAAATATAGCATTTGAACTTTACTTCACAGATTTAAAAAAAGAAAAGTGGTTAACTAAGGACAAAGAGACAGCATAGTAGAACCTGGGAGGGAAATATTAGTAAAATATGTACACTTCAAACATGTAATAAAGTGACTCAATAAAAAGGAATGTTGGCCTCTCAGTAGTCAAAGGGAGATAACTTTAGAGATATGAGAACTTAATCAACAAAATGCTAGAGAATCATAATTGAAATAGTAATTGTAATAATATTCTCCCTTAAAAGAATACTCACAGAACATAGGGCATCCTGAAATATAATTATGCAAAGTAGCCACGAAGTCTGTGACTTAGTTTATAAATCCATAAAATATTATCTAATAGCTCCAAAATCTTGGCACATTTTTAAACATTTCTATTCTATAGTAATACACAGAAAAGTGAAAGCAACTCCTCCACCTCCTGCATTTCCCATAAAAACCATCTAATATTTCCTCCTAAATAGATGAGAAAACTCGAGCACTTAGGAATAAAGGATTTTTTTGTGGCTAGAGGTCAGATTTAGAATTTAGTTTTCTAATTTCCAAGCTAACAACTTTTCACATCTGTACTGCCTCACCAAACACAAACAGGGATATCTAACCTCAGTAACGATAAGGAAAAAATAAAATAGATTAAATAAACAGTATTTGCTGATTTTCTGCCTCAGAGTAGCTAAAGGACAAACAACTTCTTGAGTTAATGTTTCTCCCCTGCAAACCTGATGATAAATAGTAAACAATGAATATTCTTTAACATACTCAGGAGGTCGCGTGTCTGGTCCAAGATCTCGGTGTAAAGAAATCCTGTCACTTGCAAAAGCATTAAAACAGTGTTTGGCTTCCCCACGTTCTTTTTCCTTTTGCTCTTCAATACTTAAATTGGTTGTCTTGAATGCTTTACCAGAAGCACCAGGTGCATTAGAATCCTGAGGTGGGCGGTCAAGAACGGGTTTCAGTTCTGCTGCTGTATAATATCCTTGCAAACAGGGTCTCTCACCAGCATCAATGTTTTCCCTGACAGGTGCTCCTATTTGCATTTTTGGCATTGCATCTTTAATATTGTTTACAGCTTCTAGCATTAAATCAAGCATCTTGTTTTTGTTTTTCATGTGTCTTTCCATCCTTGATTCCTCTTTGGAATATTGAACACTTACTTCTCTTTGCATTAAAATTAAAACTATTATAAAGAAAAAAATTACTGCACCAAGCTTCCAGAACTTTTTATGGTAATGTCTTTTAACATGTAATTTCACTAGTCGCTTTAGGTGAGTCATTCTGACATTAAAAGCTTGTCACTTGACAAATAACAGTTACGATTTCCTCTGTTACTTATATTTTTTATCATAGATTTGCTGGCAAGTAGGTTTCTTTAAATGGTAATACCTAAAAACAGAAATGATAGATGGTATTAGTAGGTATTCAATCCAATAGGCATGGTTCACTTCACTCATTCAACCAACAACTGAACATAATCTACAAATAGCATACTCTTATGGTCAACAAAAATAAAAAGATATCTTGCCCTCAAGAAAATAATGCTTTTGGAAGAAAACAATTGCTACAATTAACTACAATCTATTGGGGCTGCAAAATATTGGGGATTTCTCTCCAGTAAAAAATACATTCTTTATTAACTCTAATATCTACTATGTGATACGCATAAAATTTTTGAATTAAAAAAAGAGTATCAACTTGATTACCAAGGAATCAAAGGACTTCATTAAATGAATTGAAAAAAGGAGATCCGTCAGAAAGTCAGGGTATACTGACGGGTACTATCAGGCATCCATTTAAAATAGAGGCCTTCATTTTATGCAGTTTGCCCTCAAACTATGAACCACTACTCCAGGTAAACCAATTAAGATAATAAAGCAGCTTCATCAATAAGTAAACTAGCATGCTCCCAGATTTGCTTACTTGATAGTATTTATGACTGCTGAAGGAACCCATAAAGAAAATCAAGGGCATTTAATTTGTTGTCATAGAACCACAATTTTCAATAGCTCACACAAATCCAAAAATCTAATAGTAAAAAGAAAATACATTACCTTTACTTAAAGTATCTCTAGGGAATCTACAGAGATCATTGAGTTAAAAAAGCAAAATTTGGTTTGATGAAATATTGCTTGCAATTGACCCTAAATTACAGGGCAGCAAGTTAACTAAACCCTAATATGGGCCAATAGGAGCAAAAGAAAGGAAAAGAAAAATAAGACGTTACAGTACATGATTACACACCATGTGCCATTACAACCAGTCAAGTAATTTGCAGGGGCAAAGGGGAGGAAAAATGCCTGTTCTTCCTAAAGCCTAAACATATTTTAAAGAAAATGTCATTTATAGCAGTAAAAATTAACTTTGACACTTTATTCGTCTTCTCTTCCAAAGTTCTTACTAAGTTTAAAATAAGAAAACCAAGTTAAAAGATAGATTCTCTGGCTTTTGGCAGGAAGTTTTAAGCTGAATAAACAAAATAGGCAGAACTTAGTTCTATATACTACTTCTAATTGGAGTGCTCTATATTCTTTTCAGTGTGGAATGGACACTTTGGCACCAAAAGATACCTCAATTATGATGTATATTGCCCATGAAGTGAGATTCCAATATTTCTGAGCTTTTGTTGCTTTAAGAACTTCATGTAAAGAATAAAATGACCCCTTAAGCTTTCATTTGAAGATTTAATATAAAGACTTACAGAACCATATAATTATAGTGGTGTAATTTATTATGTGTCAAATGTTGTGCTAGCTGTGGCTCAAAATTTAAGATAGCCCTTACCTTCAAGAAGCAGAGTGAAATATGACAAGTCCACAGACAACCACGAAGTAGTCTGATATGTGCTAGGACAAGAGATGAGGAAAGCAACATGGAAAGTAAAGAGAAATGTTGGGGAAAATTTCCCAGAGATGACTGTTGAGCAGAATCTTAAAAGATAAGCAAATTTTAGGAAGATAGACAAGAACAAGGAGAGAGAAGGAATGGCAGATGCAAAGGCACAAAAGACAAGACATGGTCAGTCCTTGAGTGCAGCAGAAGTGGAAGACATAGGGAGAGAATGACAATTGATGAGGCTAGGAGGTCAATTAAAGATCAGTTCACAAAAAACCTCATACATCTTCTAGTGAATTTGAAATTTACCAATTTTGTCCTAAATGGATGGAATGGAAAGATCATGTTTTTAAGAAAGGATCGTAATCAAATTTATGTTTTAGAAAAATCATAGGTGTCTTTGGCCCTAGTACAGGTGATAGATACCAAAGACATGAGAGGAGCCAGATGGATGGAGAAGCTGATTCAGTAGAGTCCAGGGAATGGAGTCAAGCAGTAGGACTTGGTAAGAGAAAGAGAAGAATGGGAGATGGATGGCTTAAGTGATGACATTAACAAAGGCAGGAGATACAGGAAGGAGGATAGATTCAGAGTAAAAATAAGGGAGATAATTTGTTCAATTTTGGACATAGTAAATTTGAGATGCTGGTGGAACTTCCAAAGTGAGTTTGAATGAGCAAAAATATATATGGGACTGGAAATCAGGAAAAATCTCTGTGCTAGAGATGAAAATTTGAGAGTCAATCTTGGGGTATAGAAGAGTTCACCTAGAGAGAATGTAAAGTAAAGAGGACAGAGAAATACCTACATTTAAGGGTAGGAAGAAATAGGAGAGACTGGAAAGACCAGTCTTCCTGATCTTACGGGGGAAGGGGGATGAGAAAACAAGACAAACAGAATTACAGATAAATTATCCATGTCAAGTGTAGGTAATTTTGCATCATATCCTTGAGAAATGTTTGACAGTTGGTTGATCTTTAAAAGTAAACTTCAATAGACGTGGTCTAACGGGCTTTAGTGCAAAATCAGAAATGAACAGTGGCAGAGAATCCAACAGAATAGTTGTAGTCATGGACCCAAGATCCTAAAGCTCAAGATTCAGAGCACTTTCAGAGGAAAAGGGCACCAACATGATCTAAGAGGTTCCAGGAAGGTTAAGAACAAACAAAATATTGGAGTCTCACAGGACAGTGGTTCCCGTCCAATTCCCTTTTTTTAACTTCAGCTTGACAAAAGACAGATATTAATCAATCTACGCTCACCCTCCTTTATATCCCTTATATCCCCAAAGTCCCCTTCCCAGTGCTTTCTAGTAATATGAGATTTTTCATAGCTAGAGGTAGGCTAGATTAGGAATTTGAGAAGGATTGAGCTGGTCTCCTTGAGATATTTTAGAAGAACATGGAACAAGAAAGAATTCAGACAAGGTATAGAGTAGGAGATGATGATAGAACTAAATCTTTCTACAGTGGTGATGGTTTTCCCCAAACATTTTATGCCAGAAATCATAGTTGTGGGTAGGGTGAGGAATCCGAAAGAAGGATAGAATCAATGAGGCAGCTAGAGGGACTTCTTTTTTAGGAATAAATCATAAATTAGAGGAATTCATCATCAAAAAGGCAATAATTCTTTCATTGTGTGTGTATGTGAATCTTATCTAAGGAGTATCTTAGTAGAGCTTAGTTTAAGATGCTTCTAATGAGGGAGTCAAGGAAAGCTCACAAAAGACATGGATAATGTCTCTCCTATTCATGGTTCTTTGTCTGGCACTTGTTGGTAACATAGTGGGCACCCAATAAAGATTTATGACTCGAAAAGGGAAGAAAGAGGACCAAGATTTCATTAGAAACAACAAAAACAACAGTTACCTTTTGTTCAATGTTGATAGGTCCCCTGGTACTTTAACACTTAATACATAAGTTCTCCCAACAATTTTGTTAAGTATTATGTTTTTACAATTTTACTGACACAGAGTCAGATTAAGTGGCTTGGCCAAGTCCAGTCAGTTTAAGAACAACATTTCCCTAATTGTGTTCAAACTTGATGTAAAATTCTGAGCTTTTAACTGAAGTAATCTGCAATAAATTGTTTTAGGGTCAAGAACCGATATCCTAAATGTAAGACAATTAACGGGAAAAAAAACTCAGTAGAAAACCCATAAAAACTACAATTATCCTCATATCATTTTGGGTAATGTTTTATAAACAAACAAGTTTTTTTTTAACTGTTTTCAAAGTATAGAAATAAAGACTGAGGATAAGATTGTAGATCTTGACAACGTAAGATTAAGAGGTCCAGATCCTTTCAGAGGCAGAGTCTAGTAGTAGGAAGATGATACTTTGCTCTTTTCAGCCTATTTCTAAAGGGACTAGTCTTCCCTTAACAATTCCTGATCACCTGAAGATTCCAACATAGATCCTCCAGGGATTTTCATTATGACTTTTCTGTCATTTGCTGTTAATATGCAATATTAGGTTTCATTAATGACAAATGGCACTTAACATTAAACATCTTCTTCAGCTGTCCTCAACTCTGGATATACCTTAGTTGAAAGCTCTTTAAAAAAAGAGCCTTAGACTCCACCTCTAGAGAGTCTGATTTAATTGGTCTAGGGGCAGAGCCTACACCCTGCTTTTGTTGTTGACCTAAGCTCTCCAGATACTTCTAACAAGAAGCAAGGATTAAGAATCTCTAGTCTAGATCACAAAGACTTTGGGCACATCAAAACTAGCACCTGATAAGGAAAGGGCAGTATCTGTCCAAACACAACCACATTATTAATTCCTAATATTCCAAAGACAGGTTTTTCAAAATAGATTCTTGATATAAATTGAGCAAAAGTTATTTAGACATAGAGAAATAAGATAAAATCCAAAGCAAGAATGATCCAAAGTTTTCTTAAATAGTTCAGGGACTAAAACTGATACAAATAAGGCAATGAGGTTTTATTGCAAATTATGATTCTGTAAAATTATTTTATAAATATTTTATTCCAATCACAAAAATCTGAAAACTGAGACTTGACCAATAAACATATAATCTAAAAGACAAACACTACAATGAATGAGTAAAATAAAACCAGTCTTAATTCCTTTTTGTGAGAATAATGCCATATCCTTTGTCAATACTACTGCCAAATTTGAAGACCTATTTGAAAATAGCTAATGAAACAAATCTCTTCTACAGTCAACTTCCAATTGGACTCAGAAGTTTGAGAATTGATAAAAAAAAAAATCAAGACAACAGCGAACCTAGGATATAACATGTCATATTTGCATATTAGAAGTGATTACCAGATGAAGGGTTTGTTCTTGTACTCTTTCTAAAACCTTTAAATACACCAATCCAAATTGGTTATTTGCTAATCATCAAAGATCAGATTCACAGAGGAAGACAAGTGAAAACCATAAAATGATTTTTAAAAACTAGAAAAAAAAATTCAGAGATCTTCTACATCCTAAATTCTTATAAATTTCTAACAGTGAAAGAAATTCAGAGACCTACTAATCTGTATCCTAGTATATATGTAATATTATAAAAAGGCATTATTAATAAA